CAGTTTGTTTAATTAAACAAAATAGATATAATATAACCATTCGCCATGTGGCGTCTATATATCAAAAATTAGTTTTTCAAATTATTTTGCGAGGATTGAAAAATTATTCCAAGAAAAAAAGGAGGATTTTTGTTTAGAAGAAAAATTTTTAATTTTCAACAGCGGAGAAAACAAAGAAACTAGGCGTTTAGTTTGAACGTATGGCCTTAAATGTTCAGAAAATCATGGTCATAATTTGTTAATTAAAAACTAATCAAAAAACCAAATGTCGAGCTTTGGAAAAATCAAATCTGTTCAACATTGACCTCTGTGTGGAGTTTCAAAATAAAATTGTGAGCACGAAACATATTGAACATTTCCATTGCTCTTTTTTTTTTTTTTTTTTTTTTTTTCAACTTTTGTGTGTACTCGGTATTTTTCTCTGTCTTAGTGTCGAAACGCTACGTCGAATCTTTTAAAACTCTAGAGAAGGGGTTTCCAACTTACACGAGGCCGGGGGCCGTAACTTTATCAAAATTTTATATAGAACTCTTTTATGTTTGAAGGAACATTAAATATCACTGTCAGATTTTTATCAAGTTGGGCAAAAAAAGTATTGAATTACAAATTAAAATAAGAAGTAGATTTTTATCTCAGAAATAATTTTTTTTGCACTGTTGGTTATGATGAATTTCCCAGAAACGAAGAAATTTTTTTTTTTTTTTTAACGAATGAAAAGTATTTTAAACCCATACAGATTTTTTACGAAAATTTCCCTCAAAAAAATGACAACTAATATATTTGAGTTCGCGGGCCGCCAGTTGGTAACCACTGCTCTGGAGCCATTTTAACTAGGGTCTTGAAACTTGGAAATAGACAAGAAACAATTTAACTCTCCGATCCAAAAAATCATTCATAACTTTCTATTTGTTCGTTCAGGAGAGATATTTGAAGATGAATTTTTTTCATTGTTATATATTAATTATGATTCCTTATGAATTTTTTGCACGTTCTTAATTTATTGATTATTTTTTAGTATCTCAGAAATCAACCTGGTTAGCGTGACTAACTCACCAAATAAGTATTTCCTTTAGTTATCTAAAACCACGTGTTTGTTCTGTTAATAGTTCACTTTTTCAAACGTGTTTTTATAGACAAAGTTAATGGAGAATTTCATTTGGGGAATGTTTATGAATCACCATAATATTTTATTTTATATCCGTCGTTGAGCAGCCGACCCAATTTTATGGGTTTACGACTACTCTTCAACTCCGTAACCGTGTAATTTTGAACCCAATCCAGAAGACAAGGAACTCCTAGATTGGGAGAAATTTGCCTTCGTGGAGAACTTTTTGATGGAGCTAATCAGCATTTGCATTACATGGAGAGGAAGACCACGAGAACCTCCCACGGTTTGAATGACGGCAAAGGGACTCTAACCCATGAACCGTCTACCACTGAGGATATTTTACGTCAGCACTGTGGTTGGTGCAAGCTGGATGCGGAATTCGTATTGACTGGGATTCGAACCCGGAATCATTGGAAGGCGAACCTCATTGGAAGGCGAACCGGGTGAGGGTAAAATAAATTTACTCGCAATATTTTATGTCTTGATTTTTCATGCAGAACTATAGAAAAGTTTTTTTTTTAAAAATTATTTTATTCTTTTATGTTTACAGATTTTGATTGCTATGCAAAATGTAGAATATACAAAATATATCACAAAGGATTACAAGCAATAATTTTCAGTGAATTCAGTATGTAACTTTCATATTTCAAAATTAATGGCAGAAAATCTGTATGATGCGCGGCTATGGTACTTAAAAAAATAAACAAATAAAGTTTATTAGTGAATAAGAATATAAAATTATTAACTCGTTTAAGGATCAGTGACATAAATGTGTTTGCCAATAACTGTTATTCATCTGCTTTTCCACTCCTTCTTTTAATTTTTTATTTTTTTTTACCTTAAATGAAACGGACTTCAAAAAACAAATCGCAAAAATCGTAAAAGAAAGTCATGGACAAGAAAAAAATTGATCCTTCAAATATACTTCAATTGATCCTTTAATTATGCTATATCACATATAAAAATGTAATGTACTATAATATTACATAGTATATATTTTTTCTACAGCAATAGTTTTTAAATGACCCTGGAGAACCCAGCTTAGAGTTCAATATCTAGAGATTAAACCCGGAAAATGAACGATTTTTTTGAGAATCTTAAAAGTAAACAACATTGCCATATTTTAAATATGAATTGGGAGATTAATGTTTGAAATAAAATAGTTGCTATTTGAAAAATAGGTAGAATTTGCGTTTAAGCTGCTTAATATTATCGATTTAAGTAAAATGGTTGTCAATGTTTTTTTCTAAATACTTTTTTCAAATAATCATACAATTCTTTATTAAAAATTTTAATTTTGTAAGTTAATTTAAAAATAATTACTGAAATGTGCTGCTTTACCATTATCATTGTACATTTTAACTAAAGTTCCACAACTATGAGTCCCACAGTGGACTGATCATAAAGACATGGTTCCCTGTAGAACACCGAAGTCAAGCATAACTGGCTGTAGTCAGTAAGCGGGTGGGTGACCACTTTGATCAGCCTGCGTAAGGACCGAGGGTGCGTGGTAGCGGTCTTTGTTAATCTGTTCTATGGCAAAGTGCTCGACTTCGCTTGCAGGTCGTCGGGCTACCAAAGTAGAGGAGCCATCCCCTCTGCAGAGGATCGAAATTGCGATGGCATGTCTTCGGATCATCCTCAAGGATGTTTTCCAGACCGTCGCCAATAGCCAGCCCATTGTGCAGCTCTAGTGCGACGTTAATAAAGTACCTACCTCCACAACTGTGACATATATAGAGTAGAAGTTGGAGTGTTTTTACTGCATATTGTTCATTGAAAAAATTAATTTATTAAAAACGAAACACAACTGAGTAGACATAGGTAGATGGAAGCGTACGAAATAATAAACAAACAATAGTTAGGAAAAAAAACGAGAAGCTGTCTATTTTATTCGCAGTGATTCACGTGGGTTGTTTGGTCGTCTATGTAACTTTTTTTAATATAAATATTTTTTTTAATATTGCTTTTAAGCTACTTTTTTTCCTGTGAATTGTATAGTTATAGATATTATGCTCGTAATTTGTATGGTTATTTTTATTTTCCTGTTTAGTTCAAATAAAAATAGGTCGATACTCCTGAATAAATGCCATTCCTTAAGTTAAAGTTAGCTAAGAGATTCAACGAAAATGTCTGCATCTCAAAATAACGCAAATAATTGTACTACTAGTGAGTTGAATGGCTCTGCTAGTACAAACCAGCTAGTACAATCGCCATTTGTATTACAGCAGTTTAATTTGCAGCAAAATTCTCAAATATTAGACTTTAATCAGTCACAGCAACAACAATCTGGAAAAGAGCAATGTGAGGTGCAAAAAGACCCTAATATGCAGCAATCACAAGTGACACAACAATCTAATATCGGACAATCGGAAGCCCCACAACAATCTGATATTGAACAATCGAAAGTGCCACAACAATCTAATATTGCGCATTCACAATTGCCTCAATTCAATATGGCACAATTGCAGGTGCCTGAACAATCTAACATGAATCAATCACAATCCAACAGTGAACAGACTAAAGTGCCACAACAGTCTAATGCTGAACAATCAATGATGCAACAGTCTTGTATGCAACAATTGCAGCTGCAGTCTTATATGCAACCACAATTGCAATTACAGCTGAAACAGCAATCACAAATGTTACAACCTCAATTACCTCAACAAGCACAGTTGCAGACTCAGTTGTTGCTGCAAACTTCTCAACAGCTATCACAGATTTTACAGCAGTCACAGCAACAATCTCAGGCAAATTTAAATCAACAATCTCAATTAAATAATCAACCACATTTCATACAATTAATGCAATCACCTCAACAACAGCCACAGTTAAATCAGTATGTGCAGATGTTGCCACAATCTGGCATTTCTCAGACTTTAGTACAACAGCAACAAAGGAAAGATAACTGTGCTCCTTCTTATGTAATTGGCAATATGAACAATCAAGTTAATGTTCCAGTTAACAGTCTTCAATCACAGCCAATGAATGCATTATCTAACATGAATCAGAATTCTTTATTTTATGTGCAGACTGTACCTCAACAAATGGTAACACAATTTAGCAACAATTTTGGAACTCAAGTTATTCAATCTAATAATAATAATATGCAAATAGAATCTAAACCTGCATTGCAGAATGTTATAAATTCATCAGTGCCATCACAGATTTCTAATTTTCAACAGATTGTCCAACCCCAAATTAGTCAAGGGAGTACTAGTTCATGTACTACTATGGTTCAACCTCATGTGAGTCAAGCAGTATCTCAAAGCTTTAGTTCGCCTACCCATACAAATATGTCTTCTTTTTCACAGATGCCTTTTCAACAAGTAAGACGATGTGTATTTTTAAAATATATAATACTCATACACATGTTTTGTAATAGTTTATCTATCTTGTAATAAATTCTTAAAATTTATTATAAAGCTACATTAGGGGTAGCCCTCCAGTAGTTGATGTGCTGTCCGTGACTTTACCTGAAAAAAATTATTGTAATTATTTTTTTATAATCAAAAAATTTGAATTTCACAATTAAGTTTTTGTTCGCATAATCTATATCAATTTAGTTTTTCGATCATTGTTTTCTGTGCTTCTTACAAATTTCCTAAGTTTTAAAAATATCAATATGGTAAAATCCTAGAATAACCCAATCCTTGGCGACTTTTTGAAATCTTGCCAAGTTGGCGATTATTTCTTGGATCAACATTGTTTTTTATTATTAAAAAATCTTTTTAAATTATTAAAAATTAATTAAAATATTTTCAATAAAGTAAAATAAAAAATAACTTACCTTTACTCTCATCTTTCAACACTTCAAACAATCTGACAATCGTCATGTGCAACCACTTTCTATCCACGCTTTCAAAATCTCCATTTAAAACCATCCACTGTATCATTTTGCTCTATCAAACTCGTTTGTTCTACACATTTAGGGCATTCATACGTTTTCAAGGGTCTATCTAGGTTTTTCTGAGAGGTACTTATTTTGTGAAAATTTAGACATAATTTGTGAAAAATTATGTTAAAAGATCAACACAAAAACATGGTAAAAATATTGATTTATCGTTTCTTAAAGAATACAAAAATAAAATTTTAAGAAAAAGTATTTTTTGAAACTGTTACCGCTGAACGCTAAATGATAGTAAAATTAGCCTGGACATTCTCCTGGTTTTCGAAATTAAATTTTGATTCATAAACCATTCAATCATCACTCTTTTACCTCTTGCATTCAATAAACAATCACTCGTCCATTCGCTCATCATTTTCAACCGGAACCTCACAAAAAAGAATTAAAAAATGAAGTAATAACGGTAACCCAATAAGATATCAGAAGCATAAATGGCGAAAAAATAACCCTTTTTACCAATTTTTCTGACGAAGTCTAACTCTTTCGCGTAGGTATACATATAAATTAACCAATCAGGGTTAAGAATTTTGGAGCGTACTCAGAAAATTTTAGGCAAAAAGTTGAAGGTAGGTCGAAGGGTTGGTGGTTCTAAACAGGTTGGTGGTGTGATCAGACGTTCAAAATAGATGCCTTTTTTGATAAGTTAAAATTTTTTTTTTTAGAAGTATCAGTTTGGCATTCTTCAGTTTTGAATGAATTTCAAGGTTTAAAAGAATGTATGTTTAAATAAATACATTGCTAAGTTGACTGATAAAAGAATTTTGTCTGAAATACCAGTCTGAATACTTGGGCGTGCAGCCCTTCATTGGTCAACTTATTGCATGAGTGGTCATTATAAATGGTTGTGCACGCTTAGTTACATTAACATAGCGATTTAGTAAAATATGTTTCTTTTGTAAAGTAATTATTATAATCATAACTAACAAAGTTTTTAGTTTTCATTTGCAAATTTATAGTTATGTGTTGATAAAGGTGCCTTCAAGGGAGGTTGAGAGAATGTAATTGGAACATCCTTGAAATTCTGTGAATAAAAATTATTTTGCTTTTAAACATTATTATTTTTTTATTGCAATTAATTACAATACAATTAATGTATGTTAAGTAATTGTAATACATGTCATTAAAATTAATGCATAATCAAGTTTGGTGGATTGCTTGGAAAAATTGTTATGAGTTTCTCTATATTAATTTACATACATTTTAAAAAATAGGTCAACTAATTGAACTAATTCAGAATATTTTGTAAAAAGCCAGCAGATTATATGGCATAGGCTATCTTTAAAAAATTGAAAACTAATATTAATTTTTCATTAACTTTATGGGTTTTTTCTTTAAAAAAAAATCAATAAAACATAACTTAAATTTTAATGACTGTAAAACATGAAGTAACTATTTTGAAATTCAAAAAATCGTAAAATACTGCTAATCTTCAGTGTAATTAATTTGTTCAAATAGAGCACTTTTTAAATTTTGATTCTTTAAAGACAGTATGTGTTAAGAATTTGAATTTAGTTGTAATCTATTACTATTAATATTACCTATGCATTATATATCATCTTTTTATCTATTGATTATTTTTAGGTCCAACAAAACCAGCTCACATGTTCACCACAATTCAGACCTATACTTCCTTCTGGGCCTATTCCAGCAGCTACTCAAATGTTCAATAAAGGGAATGTGCTAAATGCAAATCAAATTGTTGGTATGTATTTTTAAGAATTTCCTCTTTTTTACTTTTTATTCGCACTTGTGTCTTTTATTCAATATTGTATTTATATATACATACCTAATACAGTAGAGAACCGATCATCTGGAACGATCGAGACCACCACTATTCTGGATAACTGATTTTTCCGGTTTTCTGAATCGCTACAAAAAGCAGTTTTTTTTTTAATTGTCAAACTCAATTAAAAAAAATATATCTATATTTCGAATATTTAAAAAAAACTCTTTACTTCTTTTGACAGTGTAAGGAACTGATGATTATTTCTAAAATGATGGTAAACATCTTTAAAAAAAAAAAAGAAGAATTCTGAAATCTTTTAAGGAAAAAAAATTAAAAAAAAAATGGCAGGAAAATGTATTGAGTTTTTTTCTGGTTTTGCTGTATTCTGATTTCTGATTGTTGTTCTGTACTGTATTCTACAATATTTTAAGACACACTTTTAGTTTTTACATTTCTCAAGAAATACTTAGAGGATTATTTTTTAACTTTTGAAGCAATTTCGCATACAATAAAGTTTAAAGCTTTCAGAGGGTGAGTGACGGACAATAAATTCAGAATATAGCTATGCTATGTCAGAAATGTAGCAATAAACTTGAAACTTTATTGATTACTTTAGTTTATATAATTGCATAACATTTCATAAGCCTAACTTAAATATTTATGGAGATATAGACATTTTTGTAAAAGATTAATTTTATTGTCTTTTTTGGTTGCTTGTTCTAACTTTGAAAATATTGGAGCAATTTTAACTAATAACAAAAAATAATTTTGAACTTCGAAATAAATGTGTAAAAAATTGCACAAGATATTAAAATTTAAAGTAATTCTTTTATTCTGTGCATGGGGTGGAAACATTAAAATTGTTTTGTTTTTTTCCTTTCATAATTTTGTTGCAAATTGTATATGGCAACTAATGAATAAATACCGATTTAAATATAAAAATTTAAAAAGTTTCTAGCTAGCAATTTTTTGAAGTAATTATTATTTTTTAAAAAGAAATCTATGAATACTACGGGGTATTTAATATTTCTTTATTTCAAATATTCTTTCATCATTTTATTTATTTCTGCCAGCAATGTTTTTCCATGTCTGTTTAACAAGGTGGTAATGTGACATCAGGAAAATCATTTTATTATACATTTAGTTTTTCTAGATGATATTAAAACATAAATATACACCAATTATCTTATTAGTGTACTTTTTGTGTTATGTAGTGCGTTAGGTAGTATTATTAAACATTATATTGATTATTTTTCCACTTAGGAACATCAGCTTTTGGGGCTGCTCAACAATCTTATCTGAATTGCTTGCAATCACATACAGGACCTGTGTTTGTAATCATGAATAATCAACCTCAGGTGTCCACTCAAGTTCCATTCAGATATCAAAAGAGCACAAAATTTGTTGCAGGAAACAGACCTCCAATGGTTTGACTAATTTCTCATTTGCTATTAATAAATAAATTTCATTCAATATTTTTGTACCAAATTAGTAATTTTGATCCTATTCTAAATCTAAGCTTAAAAATTTTTGCTTAAGGCTGTTTTTCAAAGGTACTGTAGTCACATGAAACGATATTTTTTTGTGCAAATAATATGCTATTTTGTAAGTAATGAGTTTGCTACAGTTACTCATGACTGTTTGGTCAAGTTTAGCGTATCTTTAGCCAATGCCCTCTATAACCATTCTGAAAATTGCGTTAAATGTTTGTTTGGAGAAAAGCCACTGTTTTGAGCATTTGTGGCCTAGTTTTTTTTAATATTTAAAAGCTTACTCCAAGGCAGCATTATCTGCACTCATAAAAATTTGCTAGAAATGGGAATAAGGTATTAATTTGAATAATTTTCATCAATGGGGGAAAATGTTGCCAATTTCAAATTTTTTTTTAAAAAAAAGTTTTGTAACTTTTGAAATACTTTAGTTATTTGCCCATTCTAAAGCCCAGATTATATTTTTAAAGCAGGATTGCATATACAGTTTAAAATACAGTAGAGCGCCGATTACCCGAACTGCTCGGGACCGAATATGGTTCGGATAATGAAAAGCTCGGATAATTGGAAAGTTTTTTAAAATCTAATGTAAATGATTATTATTTATGCACTAACTTCCCTTCGCACCTTTTGTAGGCTTAGTACTATCTAAAATAGCTCTGGCGTGTTTAAAAGTTTTTTTTTTCAACTTTTAAATATTTTTAATTAATTTTCTTAAACTTTTTTTTTCATTTTGAATTATTTTTATCATATATCAGTTTTTTATAATTTTTTTGTCAATTACTGATTTTACCACATTTTTCATTATTTTCCATTGCAAAAGAAATCCAGCAATGATTTTGTTTAAAAGAAGATCATTTTTTTTTTCTTGAGCAGCCATATATCCCTTATTCTTTTTAAATAAATCAACCGAACTGGATCAACATCATTTTGACGTTTTAGCCAATTTATTGCAAAATCTTATGAATTGCATGCCTCTATATGAGAAGGTCCATTATCTTGAACTTGATTACCTACTTCTTCCTCTTCGTCTGTGGAGTTCCGATTTTCCTTCAAAATTTCAGCAACAATTTCATCATTTTCATCCGAAAGATCTATTGGTTCAGAAACTTCAGTTTCGCTTGTTTTTTTGTTAAGAATTTTATTCCAAGATTTAAGATTCCAAGCAATGTAATCACTAATCATTAACCATAAATGACAACTACCCATCCCCCAATTATAGAACTTCAGCACTTATCTATTCATAAACTCCTTCTGCATTCCAACCATTGTAGACTATCAAAATGAAGCTCGCATTCTTGGAAGATAATTTTCAGTTGTAAAGGGCTAAAAGGGTATGTAGGTTTAACTGTATCACAATACATGTATGTA